TTCTCAATTTTAAATAGGGTGGAGAAGCCTTCTGATTATCAATTAATCTGGATTTGGAAAAGGCAAGAAGATTGTTATTGCTACCCATCTTTAAGAGTGAGAATCTTAAAGTTGGGAGCAGTGTGCCTATTTGGCTAACAGGTACGAGTCCCATGATTTTGCTAAAAGGAAACAAGCTTGTAAAGTTGCAGGACATTCATGCAGTGTGACAGAAGGTGAAATGGACATATTCCAAGCTAAGCATGAGATTTCATGTTGCTTCTCCCTTGCATTATATAACAAGACTATGCATGACCTTGCATCACTAGAGTAGTACTTCAGACCTGAGTCTCCTATTTATCCTTGATGCCTACAGTGAGTTAGAAACTGGATTAGATAAAAACAAACAAACAAACAAACAAACAAAAAACACCAAAACAATGTATGGACAAATGAAGACAAATCCCCAATAATATGATGGATCAATGAAATCTCTACATGGAAATCACGTATCAGAAGACGGACTTCCCCTTTAGCAGTAAAGAATGAGGAGAAAAGCAGATCTAGACCCAGACAGAGATGGAGTTAGTATTTCCAGATTTCCAGGCAGGGGAGGCAGCTCCCGGCAGCTCAGCCAGCTCCCGGCAGCTCAGCTAGTGGGGGACGCCAGGGGCAGCTCCCGTCTTGCTGCTCTGACTCCTCCAACCGCGTAAGGGCTGATTCAGCTCCAGCAGCCCTTTCGCTTTTCTCATGATCCACCCCTTTACTGAATCCTGTCCTCAAGGTTTCAGGAGGCACAACATACCTCGATTGAAGATTTGGTGTGGGAGCCTGCAACGGATGTTGGGGTAACCTCAAGTTTGTGCTTTCGTGAGGTTAAAGTCAGTTAACTGTTCTCCCTTCTGGAGATTCAAGTTGGATGAAAAAAAACAACAAAAACCCACTAAACAGGGCCCTTCCTGGTGGCATAGCAGGTTAGAGCGCTGCACTGCAAAGCTAAGCCAAGATGACCGAACTCAGTGCATGTTCGATCCCTGCCCGGGAGGTGACCCACTGGCAGGCCAGACCTCTCCTGACCCGCCCGCTGCTCCCCTCAGCAGTGTACTTGGTCAATCTGCCTGTTCTGCTCCCCACTCGGCTTCAGGTGAATCCTCTTGCTGCCCCTACACCTCTGGCCTGTGCTCTAGTTCTGTATGCATAAATAAATTTTTTTTTTTTTTAAAAAAAGCCCAACAAGCAAAATCACCACCCTGAGCAGCTCAATATTTTCTGTCATTTCAGATACATGTATTCTACATGAAGCCAGGCAACACAAGCTTCTAGCATGGAGTCAGTTTTTCTGTACAGTGAGAACACTCTACTTTTTTGAAGACCAGAGGCAACTCTTCTCTGATACTACTCTGTGGCATCAACTTTGCAGCACCAGTTCTCCAGCATGGCCCAAACAGGAAAAATCTCAAGAGGACATTTATTATTAGCAGTCAACTCTGGCTGCAAAGAATCAAACACTCAACTATTCCCAAAAGTACAGAGCCTTTACCCACCCATCATAAAATTTACTTCTAGTTTGAAGAAATCAGGGCAACCCAAATCAGGCTTCCAAATCACCACCTCACTAAATAAAGCTCACAAATTTCCTTGTTTTAGTCAAACAGTCAAAAGGAAGGCAGTGGGGTGGTCTCATCTTCCTAGCAGAATCATTAGCTATCAAGTGGCTGATCTGAGCGCCACTCCTGGGAAGGGTGGCTTGATGCCATGGACAAAGACATAGTGCATTAGTGGAGATCCATTCTGGGCAGCCTAAAGCTGTGCAGAAGCTGGAAGTGGAGAGCACAAGGCTGGTGGCCCTCAACTGTCTAAACCCTCAAATTTCAACACCCCTATCTCTAACAGGTTGGATAGTAAAGGCTGGTGACTACTCCTCTCAAAGGCTTTACTTAAAATTTACTGAAAATGCACATGTTTTTTCAAATGGGGTTTCTACCTCTCTCTTATTCACATAATAGCAGAGACTGGTTTATTGGATTAGTGAGTTAATCTGATCTCTCAGTGCCTGAGGGAATAAAATACAGGGCAGATTAATTTCAGAGTCTGACAGAAGTATGACAGTGATGAATAGTGGGAAGAAGAAATCAAAATAAGGTGATAAGGTCTTAGGTTTGCAAGTGTGGAAGGGGCATATTTTATTTAGAATTGTAAACGTTTTTAGAAATTTTAAGTTTTCATGTGATTATAGAGATTTTTCAGGGATATCGAGACTGACAAACACAGGCACACTGCTAGCGAGCCGAGAAGAGACACCTATACTTCACTTCTTCCTGGGACAGTCTGACGCCTGTGCAACGTCAGCTCGTCCTTTCGGCCGCCAGTGCCCCTCGGGCGCCTCCAGGATGACCGGCAGTCTGGTCTTTAAAGTGAAGGAAACTAGCTCAGCTGTGGGGCTTACCGCTGGCTCCATTACTTCCTCTTTCCAGTACCATCCTCAGCCTCCTGGCTCTCTCCAGCTTAGCAGAAGTACTGCCCTGTGGGGTCTATCCCTGATGCAGATCAACTGCTTCCTGGCTTCAGTAGAACACTCTCCTCTCATTCCCTAATAAGGCCAACAAGTTCAGAGAGGGTGAGAGAGAGCTGAAAGCCCAGGAAAGGACCGGCAGAGAGGGTTCCAGAGACACGCATGCCGGGCACTGGCCTCGTGTGGTTTAAGAGGCCTTGAGTGGCCTTCCACAGTCTGCTGAAATGCGTCAGCTGCTCCAGGAAGAGGCAGAGCGAAGGCTGAGCACACAGGGACACGTGCGCGCTGGGAGCAGGGCTGGAGGTCACCAAGACAAACCCTGCCTGGGGAGTCTGTAATCAGATCGTGAAATGGAAGGTAACTGCATCCTGTTTCTTTGAAAGGCTTGGGCTTTGCCAAAAGCATTAATTTCTCAGTGAATTTCCATCTCATTCCATTTGAGGACCCAGGGGACCTCAGGCTCTGAGACCAATACTTAGAAAGGACGCTGGTGTGAGGCCGTGCTGAGTGGCAGGCAGACGCCTACCGACAGATGTCAGGAAGCCTTTCTGCTAAGTCCTGGTTCTGTTCCCTCTTCCACTCTGCTGTTCCGTGACACAGGATGACCCCTCAGCGGCCCTGAGTGTGACCTGGCGACTGGCGGCACCGAGTGGTGTTTGCTTGCGCTCGTCCCAGCACACCAGCCTGGCTGGCGAGCGATGCTGCGACTGCACCGCCGTACCCCGTGCGCGGCTGTTTGCTGCTCTGGGCACCCCGAAGGTGCACTGTGAGCACTGTTAGTGCCGTGGGGGTGCGGCTGCTTGGACCTCCCCCAGCTTTTAAATGCTGACGTGTTCCAGGATGAGAACAGGTCAGCTAGGAAGGTCTCTCGGAGACTTATTTTGAAGGGTTTATTGGGCAGTTCTAGTTCTAGATGGGTCACTTTAGAAAAAAATATGTTTGCCAGCTGTAGGTGTTCAGTGTCCACCACAGCACGAGTGGGGGTTATAATGAAATCCTTTGGGGGTGCCATACATTGCACAGAAGACTCAGGCTCATTTCTGTTTTCTTAAGTCTTATGCCCCAAACTGCTAATAGCAGAGACTGGTGCTGCCTATTCAGTAGCATGGGACTCAGTCAAGGTGTATGTAGGTGAAGGGCCTATTAATGCAAAGAAAGGGGAGGGAGAGAACATCCTGAATACTTTGTACTCTGCTATTCTAGGCCTTCCGCTGCACGACCTCACTTAATTCTCAACAGCTCTAGAAAAGATCACCCCTTTTATGTACATAAAAAGACTGCCTCTGCAACATTCGGGGCTTCCCAAAGGTCGCAGTCCCTAGAAGAGGCGGGCTTTCCATGCCGGTGATCTGACTCAGAAGCTCATGTTCTTTCCACTGCAGCAAGTTCCTTTAAAGTTTCTCTCTCAAGGAAAATCCTACAAAATCCACCCCTGGCTGGAACTCACTTTCGAATGAGCTGGCAAAAGCAGGCTGAACAGCTCACACCCCCTGTGGTGTGCCTGGTAAGGCCTGGAGAAGAGCCCCGAGAACACGGAAGCCTCAGCCGGGCGGGCGGGGGGGCTGTTCTCTGAGTCACAGAGGGGCCACGTCAAGCTGTCAGTCTGCTTTTGAGCTAGAACAAGCTGCTTTTGCTGACTAGGTTGTTGATGTCTGCTCTGTTTCCCAGAAATCAAGAATGTACGTACTTTTAAAAGCACTGACTTTACTAAAGGAATAATTCTTTTAAGGAGGAGGAGTGGAGCACTCTGCGGCAGCGTGCTGGAGGGCTAAGCTGAGGCCGAGGTCAGGAGAAACAATTTTAGGTCCAGACACATCTGCTGAGGTAGAGAAAGAGTTAAGTCAGGGCCGAGCTCACCAGGCCCAGGATGGGGGGCACACTCTTGTCTGCCACCCCTCTCCTCATCCTTCCTCCTTTCTCCCACCAATTTATTAACTTAGTGATACTGGCAAGGGATTCCGCACCTCAAGACTTTGATAGTAAAATGGGGGGCGATGGCATCTTATTTATCAAGGCAGAGTGGCTGATGAGGCTCATCTCTTCACACCTTTTCACCACTTCCCAGACGGGAGCCCATAGGCTGGTGCCCACCGGTCCTCACTGGTGACTGTAGTGACAGTCACTGGCGACTTTAAAAGGGCACTGACAGCTTATAGTGGCTCTGCCCTAAGTCACAGAGACGAACGACAAGCCATCTCTTCCCACATGTGCAAGCAGCTAAATGCATTACAGCCTGGGATCCCTAGTGGGGCAGAGAAAATTATTTAGGGGGACACAGGAGTGTAGGAGAGCAGTGTAAATATCTAAGCAGATTCTTTAAGCATCTTAAGGAAATACCGGGGTGAGACACGCGCTGCCCTCACCACAGCCTCAGGACGGGAGGCCAGGGCTGGTGTTCCCATGGGTGCAACCTCCAGGTGAACTCCTCTCCCTGCCATGGGAAACTCACTCTCCATGCAACAAGTACAAGACAGGTGCGGAACTGCCCGTGACAGCACTCTGGACCTACCTGGGGTCACAGAGAAATTTGGTTTTCTCTCCTTCTTCTCTCCATATAAGCCACTCTCGGAAGGAAGGATGCACAAACATCCGGGTCATGTCTCTGCGCTTGATGAGGAACATGGAGAGGTTCTCCATTCTCTGCTGGAAGTCCTCCCACTCCAGTGTGCCTTCGATGCTACCAGCATTGATGGCCTGGAAGATGTGCTCATCAGTCAGTGGGTGCAGAGAGGCCACGGCCACGTTGAGGAGGGGCATCACCCGATCAAAGGAAGACTGGGTTGGAAACTTCATGTTGCACTGGAGGAGGTAGACCTCCGAGAGCGAGACAGGAACTACCTTGTAGCTAGAGCTTTTCAACACCAGGTAGCCTTTCTCTATGAGGTCAAATGTGAGCTTCAGATACAGGTAGGAGCCTTGACTGAGTGTCTTGAGGTGAGAACTGAGCTTGCCAAATGTGGTATTGTCCATTTTGCCATTAAGTGAAATGTTATTCTGGATCTCTGAGCTGCTGTGTATCCGGTGCAGGATGTAAGCCTGCAGGTCCTGGTCTATGGCTTCATTCTCTTCTAGTCGATCCAAAAATATCCTATGGAAAGGCAGCAGCTTGGTAATTTCCTGAAACAGAGAGAGAGAGAGAGAGAGAGAGAGAGAAAGACTTTCAGTTTCCCCTAACTCTTGTGATAAACTAGGAGGTCCACAAATTTAGTCTGAACTTCAAGCAACCAAGGAAAAGAGGGAATCATAACTGAGAATTAGAATCCTCAGATTAAAACAATCAGGTGCACAGGAGGGTCACAACTTTTCCTAATATTGAGAATTAAGATAATTTTGAATGGCTCTTAACAAAGGGTATTTTGGGAAGGATTTAGAGATAATATTCTAAATAAGATCCCTAAAATAGACAATGGAGTGTCATATAGCTCTCTTGTTATACCTTTTCTCTGGGTAAACAATGGCGCAATGTCAAAGTATAATTCAGTAAGAGCAATGGAGGAAGACCAGAGAATGCTGTATACACACATGGCTTTCTAACCCTCCCCCGTAAGTGACTTCATTCTAATGTGGGACTGAAGGCTATGGCTTAGCCTAGAGGAACACTCTGAAGAGTGGGAGGTACCTTGGTGATGTGCTCAGAATTAATTCTATATACTTCCACATAGAGAAGTTATACTGACAGAGCTTCGTGGTGACTCTTGTGCTCTGGATTCCAACTCTTTACATTTGTTCATGGACGTTGTTCTCTCTCTTGCATCAGTTTCTTCTCTACTGGATCACCAGACAATTCCTTCCAGCTACTGTCCTAGATCTCTGTTGCCATATTTAGCAAAGTTTCACTGACAGGTTTTCTCTACCTAGTATCTGATTCCTCCCTTCCCTGTCCCTCCTCCAGCTGCCCCAAACAGGTGGCACCCCCACCACCTCGCTGACAAGGCCCTTGTCGGGGTTACTGGTGATGTTCATCTTGCTTCAGTCCTCATCTTCCTCAACCTCTCAGTAGGATCTGACCCCGGGGGTCACATCTCTCCTCCTGATGTCCCTGCAGCTTCCTCTTGGCTCACTAGCCACACTCCTCCCTGGTCCCCGTGCCGGTTTCCCTTTCATCTTTCATGCCACCCAGGGCTCAGGTCTCCATTCTTTTCTCTCATCCCACCTCTTCAGTTTTTAGAACAGTTAACTTTGTCCCATGGTTCTAAACACCTATATGCTGAAGTCTAAGTTTATGTTTCCGCTGAGCTCAGATGTTACATCTCTCTCTACTCAATATTTACACTTGGATCTTCATGGAAAAGCCTAATCTGATCACCTTCTTTTGTCAGCAAATGGCATCACCACCAGCCCTACCACCACACTATAGGCGGTATCTGTGATCTTTCTCTTTTCCTCAAGCCACCATTTATCAATTGATCACCAAAAGCCCATGATTCATTCTTGAATCCTTTGGCTCACACCTATATTCAGCTCATTATCAAGTCCTTCTGACTCTCCTTCACAGTAAGTCCAGACTATGACTCTTTCCCAGGTCTCCCAACAACAAACTCTGAGTCATCATCACCTTTCATCTGCACTTCAGCTTCTGTTCTTGATCCTCTCCACTTTATTTCCTTCACAGCTGCCAACCAAAGAAATCCTCTAGAAAGGCAGATCAGATCTCAGCACTGAGGCAGGAAAGCTGGAGAGGGTTTTGCTATTCACCCTATTCAAGTTATGTTCACCTTCACTGACCAGTATTCCACGGGTCTCCACAGACTTAACCCTACCTGAGCTTCATTCAACATGCTGTACCTTTTGGCTTCTCTGTTGTTTGTGCTCCTTGCTGCAACATGAGCTGTAGGAGGGCAGGGATACTGACCACCTTGCTCAGTGCTTCATATCCTTACATGTGAGATTAGTGCCTGATATAAGAAATGCTGGGGGAAATGATCAAAGATGATGGCTCATTTTTTAAAGAGTTACATACTATTTCACTGTCAAAGATGAATAAAACATTTTTAAAACTCTTGGTGGAAGTGAAGTACTTGGGAAGTTATTGATCTATGAAGACACTGAAATGTGGTCTGAGTAGACTGTCACGTATATTCTTGCTGCTGTTTGGTTTGGCTGAAAAATTAAAGTAATCAGCTCTGCTAACCTTGTGAGATTGTACACTTAAAAATATGGCTAAGCAAACATTTAATAAAACTTGTCATAAACTGTGTTACGAGAACTTCTATTTATTCTTCATCTTTAACATTCAAGCTACTCATCAACAGCGGTAGACTTTATCAGTTTAGTTGTAAAGATGCACTTATATAGATCACCCATAATCTTTCACTCAACTTACTTTGAAAGTAACAAAAACATCTGCAGGAGATGACCAGGATTGGAAGTACAGTTTCTGATAACAGAAGGCAGTTAAGCTACCAATAACTGGTCAGTGTATGGGAGGAAGTGCCTGCGAGAGGGGAGATTATTTTCTGTATACTAGCAATTGTTATGAGGGCGCTGCATCAACATGTGAAATGGGTACATAATGTGTGAGATTTTAGTGTAATGGTTACAAGAGGTAATGGTCTAGGGAATGAGAGGCTTAGGAATTCTGTTCCAAGCCAAGTGAGAGTACACAGAGCACGGGCGATATGCCTCAGCTACAAGGAGCATGCAGGAAGGGGGAGCTGCTGATGCACAGCTTGCAGGTCACTGCAGCCCCAGTGCTCTGTCAGTGTCCTCTGCTGGGTCATTAAGTGACCAGAGAGTGAGCAGAGAAGACAACGGAAAAACTCACCTTCCGGTTCTAGTGAAGTTAACCTAAACCTATGATATTACCAATATTTCTTAGAGGAAGGCACATACAGCACAAAGTCCACCTTCATGCTACGGAAAAGCTGTTCAAGTAGAAGCAGAGGAAGGGGCTAGAAAATTTGATTCTAGATTGATCTGGAATTTGCACAGCCTTAAAAGACTAAAAAATGTGAAACCAAAGTCAAACAGGCAATTAGCGTACTAGGGACTCCATTTCTACCTCTGTCCTCAGGGCAAAGTCCAGAAAAAAGATTTCTTTTCACACCCCTTTGAAGGACACTTTATCGAACACATGTCCAGGGCCACGGGAACGTAAGCCAAGAGACGGCTCCGTTTGCTCTCCGGCTCTGAAAGGATGGTCTTTGGGAATTACTCTTGCTCATGCTCCAGAACAACACAGAAGCTTGTAAGGGCATCACCAAGGGAATCAGGAACCAGGGTGTTTTCGGTTTAAGCGATCTTCCAGGGCAACAATTTGTGGTCCAAAAGCAAACAAACACATACCTGTAAACTGGTCCTAACTGTTACAATTAGCTTGAGCCAGGAAGGAAATTTTCCAATCATTTTACTCAGAAATGATACAATTGTATCCCCATAATCCGGTTTGTGAAATTCTGCTTCATTTAATCCATCAATTAAAATGATGAAATCTTCATCTGGGATTTTTCTCTCTGAGATAAAAAGAAACAAATCACTTAACAATTACCAAGTGGATGAGTAAGCTCTTTGGGTCTTTTATCACATATCTGTTTAGAAAATAAATATTAGAAAGGTTTCTTGTGTGTTTACTGAATGCTCAAGGCACATAATTTAGTATAAAGACATTATGAAATTCATTAAGTGAGTTCATATTAACCAGGTGCAGGAGCTTTTGTCACACAGGTGAAGTGTAAGCGCCACCATTTCCCAGGTTGCCAGTTACGAGTCAGCCTGAGCATTACAGTCATGAGAACTTCACATAACTGTAAAGAATTAAAAAAAAAAAAGATCTGTCTGGTAGCGTTATAGAGAACAGTATCCCATGTGCCTTTGGTGATTTCTAAAAAAAGTGGAAATCAAAGCAACACCCAGGGCTTCATGGGAAGCACAGAGCGAAGGAGGGGAGGGGGCAGGAGGCGCCGCGCCCCAGCCAACAGATCCGCCGGGTCAGGGCGTGCTTACCCCTCAACCCCGGGCCCACAGCCGCAGCGGCTCTCAGGCGGACCTGAGCAGGGCCCACGAGGCCAGACTCTGTGGCTTTCCCAGGAGCGGTCATGTGTGGGAAAGACAAGGCTCTGCCACTTCCGCGTCCACCTCTCCCTGGACTCTGTGCGATCCTATGTGACCTACAGCTGATCTTCAGGCTGGTGCGAGGAAGACTTAGGCGATTCCAGGTTCCCACACTCATGAAAGACTTACTGACTCTTGAAGCAAAAAGCCCTTAGGGTGAGGGGACATATTAGTAGAACTGAACTGTAGCAAGTGCAAGTTGTTGTGGGTAAGGCCTCACAGGTCCAGGGGGAAGACTGCCTGAGGCGGGAAAGGGGGTGGGGGGGGGGGGGGGGGGGGGGGGGGGAGAGGCCATGGTCAGGGCAGAAGGGGAAGTGTGCGCTTCTGCACAAGGATGGCTCTTTTCATTCAGAGACAAGGACAATCAAAACTCTTCATATTTTGGTTTCACATTTGCAAATATGCAGATTTTCTTGCATGGCTAATAGGGCTTTTTGTATTCCCCACCTCATCCCCCAAGAGCAACCTTTATATAAAGGAATTTAACTTCTCTATCCTAAGTACTCTAAATCGGTTCTCAAATTATCCAGAGATTGAACTGTTACTTTCGACTGTCTGGTGACTTTCTGGGAAGAGAAATGAACTGTGTCTAGCTCAGACTGCCAGCAGTGGCTGGCATTCTAAGCAAACACCTATTCCTACAGGGACGTCACAGGTCAAGGAAGAGAGAGTTGCTGCTTGGAATGTTGGGGGCTCTTATGTTTTTGATTTTGGGGGACTTGGCTCCCTTAAGCATAACTGTTCCTTCAGTTTCCACCAAGTACATTCTTGTCGCACCTGCTTGGAAGATCAGAGACCTATGCTATCAAGGCGCGCCATCTCCCACCCAGCCTGGTGTGGAGTCCCGGCCGGCTCAGGAGGCCCACGGCAGTGCTCTCCGGAGCTGACTGCTAAGCAGCTGGTAGCTTGCAGCCCTCCTGCAGGAACACTGATTTACAGTGGGGGAACTGCCCAAGCTCTCAGAGGCCTCACTCGCACTGGCTATTAACATTTTCTAGCACATCAGCACCATCTCCACCAACGGAGGCCTCTCTCACTGACACCACCTCCCACTTGACCCAGGCGCCTTCACTGGAAAGTCATGATTTTCAAAATGAGAAGAGGCTGATGATAAAGATCTGTTGTGATTTTCTTTTGGGAAACACATTCTCAAGTGTAAAGATCAAGAACATGCTCTAAATTATGATCTGGACATTATAAAGAACAAAACAATTCAACTCCTAATAAAATTATATTTTCACCTCCATAAATTCCCAGATTATTCTTCCCATTAGTAAGTATATATATGATTTTTTATAAAAAAGAAATACATGCCCTACGTAAGATAATTATATTGTTCTAAGTCTTGGCTTTTGGTTTTTATAGAGACCTTCTTTTGAAGGAGTTATTTAGAAGTCACCTGTTAGTACAGGTGAAATGAAATGAGATGTCAAAATATATATGTGTTACAGAATAAGCATGATGTGTTTTTTACGATTCAGAACATAAAATACAGAGAATTTCCAAGTAATTCCAATATTATAAAATGATTAGAAATACTTCTAAAAAATTCTTTCATCTGTTTGCTAAGTAATGAGGTTCTTTCACTATAACTTTAAGAGGTGAGACCTTAATGAATTTCAGACTTTGCTCTTCAAATGCAAACAGCCTTACAAGTATTCCTCTGTGTGCTCATTTTCAAACTTTTGCAGATTATTTAAATACATACTCTAATTCAGTAGCCTTTCAAAGATTTACAGTAAGTGAAAATTATAAAACAAAGTAAAACTGGAACGAACCAACAGGGGATTGTTACTTCATATTTTGCCACGTAAGGACATTTAAAGAGCAACTACTATCTACCATTTTATTATTTCATAGGATAAACATTATTTGGATGTGAAAATGGTAGGAGGTTTGTTATCCATCCAACCATTATATATAGGTATGTTAGAAACCACATCTATTAAAAAAACAAACAAACTACATCTACATATATCCACACATATTCTAGGCCACTCCCTTTCCTTATTTTGTCAGGGTTTGATGAAAACTTGAAATGGACTGGGACTGAGAGTCACTATTCTGTCAAGTTCCTAGAAAGAATATTTACCCAAGGGAAATGGGTATCAGGTTTTCTAGCTCTGTAACCCTTGTTTTTAACCCCTTCCATATTCACCCAGGAATTTCTCACTTTTCCCACTTACATGTATACTTAACAAATGCTTGAAAAGTTTTCCTTAGTGTTCCTATTCTAAGACTCGGTAGGGGCCTGAGACAGAAGTGACAGATTGCAACGGAAGAGATGGCTGCCAGGACTGAAGTCAGAACTGAATTCCAGGTCTGAGGTCCTGCTACTGGTGAGGCAGCATGTGAGAAGGCCTGTGTCTTGTAACATTTCTGTTCAGAGAAGCGGCACATTAGTTTTGAATTACTTTCCATTTAATTATGGTAACAAATTAGCATTTCCTTTCATTTCATATGGGTGGCTGAAACAAAAGCTCATTGAGGATGTTCAAAACCTTTTCATATGTGTTTTGTGTCTGTTTCAGTCACTGTTCTTGCAGAACCTTAAAATACTATGAAAAATACTGACATTCATTTTTAAAGAAAATTGTATAATTTGACATACAGCTTCTGAAGCTAATGTCAAAGTGTTTTCCACTGAATTTTCCTGGAAAGAAAACTTCAATACCTTCTCCATCTTGAAAACGGACACAATTTACATGCAATTAATTGTGAAGTATACAGTTTGCTGTACACTTTGATGAGTGTCAACAAGGACATAAACGCATGCAACTGACCCCACAATAAGAATACAGACCATCTCCAGCACTCCAGACAGCTCCCTGGGTCAGACCTCACAGGTACCTGTTCTGGTTCTGTTCGCATCACCCAGGGCTACACTTGCTTCATTTGCTTAACATAATGCCTTTTGAGATTCATTTACTTTGCTGTGTATATTATCACAACATATTTATAAGAAGTATTACAATGACTACAGATTTTTTCTTCTATTCACGGGTTCTTTCCAACTTCTGATGGCTATGAGCAGAGAGAGCTGCTATAAACATTGCTGTACAAGCCTTTTTGTTGACGTATGTTTTCCTTTTCCTGGTTAATGACACAGAAACAGTCTTGCTTGGTCATAAGGTAGATTTTACTTAACTGGATCAGGAATTGCCAAATAGTCCTGCCAGCAACATATGAGAGTTCTAGTGTTTCTCGTCATCACCAACATTTGATGATCCACTTAAAAAATGTTACACTATTTTAACTATCCTAGTGGGAGGAAAGCAGTGTCTCATTGTGATTTTAATTTGCATGTGGCTGATGGTTAATGACGCTAAGCACCTATTCTGGGCTTGTAGACTATTCATAAGTCATTTCTTTGGTGAACAATCTTTTGTCCACTTTAAAACTGGATTACTTATCTTTTCACTATTGCTTCACAGAAATTCTTTTGTTACTGTGGAATCAGGGGGAATAATCACATTCACTTAAACTCATTTATCAGCAGGGACATGTAAAGCTGGTGACGGAGACCTAAAGCAGCAGCAGGTACATCTAGCACTAGAATCATCAAACACAATTTGCGGTTGAGAATCTGAATCTGCACGCATTCGGATTTTCTCCTTGATCTACTCAGAAAATGTAGATCATTGTGTCACTTATCGAGGTACAACTGCCATATGATACCGTATTAGTTTCTCTCTTTAGGTAACCCTACAGGTGAGGGATTTCTATTTACTTCTCTTACATATTCCAATCGTATTTCCTGGAATGCCTGCTACATTCATGATTAGGTGAAGCATGAAAGCTGACTATTAAAAAGGCTTCTCATTTCAATAGCATACAATTCAGTCAAGGAGGTTGGCATAAATGTAGATATAGCTATTTCTTATAAAGCACAAATAAAGTATGTATTTGATAAAGTGTAAATGTTTAAGAAATGTTAGTAATACATTTTAAAGTTTGCTTTACAACAATGTGCTGAGTACCATATGTAGGATGTAAAAATCCCGAATTTCAATTTGAGGAACACTGACTCTTACTAGTGGAGGGCGCGGGGACCCAGTGGCTATTCCATGACTGAGGAGGCGTGCAAGCTGGCTCTCCGAACATGTGTAGGGTTCTGACAGGCAGAGAACTGAGGAGAAGGCACAACAGGAAGAGGAAACCAGGAGCAAACGTGTGAAGAGGGTATGCAAGGGACTAGTGTGTATATGGAACATGGGCTCACACCGGTAAAAAACAATGGCCTGGCACTAGGTTGTCAAGCACCTTAAATGCGAGACTAAGGAGCTGGAAGTTTATTCAGCAGTAGCAGGGAATTATTGGAGATCTCTGAACCTCTCCGAGAGCTATGCTTTATGAAGCTTTAACTGAAAACAGGACATAAAATCTAGAAGACCGGAGAGACTGGGGCAGAGCTTACCCAGGTATCTCGCAAACGGGTTACAGGTGTGCTAAAAATGAAGCCCTTCAGCCTTCTAGGCACTAGGCTCAACACGATGTAGCTTCAGGCCAGTCAGGTCCAGTTTTGAAGAGCTGTGACTTTTTAATCTCAGCATCATGACTGGCACATTTTCTAAGGGTGAATGTAGCAATGTACAAAAAACACTACCACCGACATAAGAGAAGACGAGGAAGGGAAATAACACAGATGTGATGTGTGGGTGGGTACAGAGCCTTTGGGGTGGTCATGGTAGGAATGGATGGGAGAAACAATAGGAAGGAGAAGTAACTGGATTTAGAAATTGAATGTACAGAAAATATGCTTAAACTATTTGAGAGAAACTCCAAGTTTGGTATGATATGATAAAAATATTGGCAGATGTGCAGACAGAGGGAGAGCATCAGGACTGAAAAGAGAAGCTCTGAAATCCAGGTAAACAGCACGGAGGCTGAAACAGCGAAAATGGCTGTCGGAAGGGAAATTACCATCACTTGTTCTTAGCAGGGCCTCCAGAACCCTCAGGACAGATCAGAAGCCTCTAAGAAGTGAACAGGAAACTCAGGAACTGTGTGCTCAGTCCAGTTGTTGCTTTGGCTTTTAAGCACTGACCAAACTTCGCTCCAGAGGTGGGGTGGAGGGGGTGGGGGGCCTGGGGCATGCAGGTCGCAGCCAACGCAGTGTCAGAGGGAGGGTGTGACAGGGACATGGATTCCACTTTTTGTTTCCTCTCAAGAATACCTTTGTACCTTTTAAATACATGCAGTGGACACTCACATTTAAAACCATGTGGGGGAAAGTGAAGTGGTTTTTAGTAAAAACACAGGGCTGAGCAACCGCAGCTGTGCCATATTATTGCGCCTGACCTGACGGAGAAAGACAAAATACCAACCGTAAAGGAGGAGAGTGCTAACCACAGAGACACCTCAACGCAGAACGGGGCTGTGACTTTGCCGACTTATTGGAACTCCACAGAAAGGACTGGAAGCTGTGCTATCTTTAGTACCAGGGAAATGTGCTATATTTGGAAATGAGACCAAGAATGGAGGAAGTAGCAGCTCCTGCAGGGATTTTTATTTTTTTGCAAGTAAAATCCTTTATCTGTCAGCTGTATCCTGCAGGACAGCAGCTAGGGAACATTTAGCCTTGGCACGGTGACGCACATAAATAATCCTTTTTCCAGCATGCCCCAGGTGAACGTGGGCTCTGGGGCCTCCACCTTTCACCTTCTCTGCACCTTCCCTGTACCTTTGTGGAGCGTCTCGAGGGGTTCCAGGACCCCTCTCCGAAAGGAGGCCATGGGGTCCTGGACACAGGAGCGGAGGCTCAGCACGCTCTGCAGGTGAGGCTCGCGGAGCAGCTGCTCCCGGTAGGCTGCCAGCTGGGGGGAGCGGCACAGCAGGGCAGCGACGTTGTGGACGAACTCGGGCACCAGGCAGGTGTAGGCGTTGTCTGCTTGGCAGTAGTGACAGGCGACCACCTACGAGAGAAAGACGAACGCGCAAACAGGCTGATCCCTGGTGCAAACAATGGCCACGGCTGTTACGCAATTATTCTCTAGCACTGTCTTCTGTCTCCTGATACCCCAGCGCTTTAAAATGAAAACAAAACTGCTCAGAACCTGCCTGCTTTATCTGAGACGAGACAGCGGGCACTGTACTTCTGTATGGTACACGTGATAACAAAGCTTACACACTGAGTTTTCCCTTCGGGTTCTGAGAAATAGGAAGCAAGCACGGTTTATATTTATAAAGATGTACATTAACCTCCCTCACGCTATTCAGCATGGCACAGCACAGGCATCTGATCACGTAACAAAGCATTAGGAACAATCAGGGAAAATTCAGGTTATCCCTGTTTATAGTTGTTCTAGTCCATGAAAAGTAATCCAGACTTATAAATTAGATATTTTCTGAGCACTCAGAATCAGAAAATAGGAGAAAGGAAACAAGTCGGATATTTGTAAAATGTAGGTCATTAATTTCAAAGAACTGAAACAATGTGCGAGTTTGAATATCATCTGGGGTTGGGGTTATCTGACTGGAACCTGGAGTTTGAAGTTCTGGCTTTTTGTTTGTTTGAATTTACACAGAGCTTGCTCTACACCTTCTGGTTGTTCTCTTTGCCTGAAGGGCAAGAGCAGTGGGGGATTTAAATCTAGACCAGCCAGCAGACTCAGTACTATCAAGAAGGTGTGGGGCTGTGCAGGTAACATGCAGGAGGCGGGGTGGCTCGGCCTGGACGCACAGGAAGTACTGACATGCCAGGTGCTCAGTGATGGGAGCTGAGGCTGCCATCAGCATCCCACCCCCGCGACCACGGCCACCATCCAGGTCCTGCGTCCTGCTTACTCAGCTAGCTCTGCAGGAATGCGAAATGTGCTCCAGGGACATCTCGCTCATGCTCCTGGGCCCCCAGCTCTTCACTCCTCTCTCAGGGAACACAGACCCTACTCAAGTGTGTGCCTTGAGAAGACTCCTTGTCTACAGGTGAGATCATCCTAGTTCACTGAGGAATGCTACCAGTGTCACTTCTCTCAACACACAAAAAAGTTGAGATCCTTTTCATGAAACAGAAAGAAACAGAAAATGTTGCCATATCCACAAAGCTGAGGAGAGGAATTGCTTGGGTGAAGCCGTGATGCCCAAGAATAGGAACTGGCAATGAGCAACTGCGTTAAAAAAGCCAACTCCGGGGCCCTCCCTGGTGGTGCAGCGGGTTAAAGCACTGCACTAAGAAACTAAAGCCACTGCTGCATGAGTTCGATTCCCGCCTGCCCCGGAGGCGACCACATGGCGCGGCAGACCTCTCCTGACCTGCCCGCAGCTCCCCTCAGCAGTGTACTTCGTCGTCGATCTGCCTGTTCTGCTCCCCACTCTGTCTCTGGTGAATCCTCTCACCCTCCGCATCTCTGGCCTGTAGCCCAGTTCTGTACGAATAAATAAATAAATCTTAAAAAAAAAAAAAGCCACTCCATCTTCTTTAGCTAAGCTGCTCACTGCTCTATTCCTGTTACACACAAAATAAGGAAGTTGTCAGTAATGACCTGTCGGTGGTTATGTCCACATGGATACAAATCTCTACTTTATAGAAAGCAAACAGCGAAGCTCTGAATCAATATGAACTTTCATCACGTTTACCTCAATGACTCCACATGTCAAGGCTAACCAGCTGAGCAAACCAGCTGCGACTTATCCTTTACCTAAAGCAAAGAGCTCTGAGTTTGATGATAAAGTCCTGAAATGTAGAGAGAGGGCTCTTCCACGGATTTCATTAAAAGGCATCTGTGGTCTTGTCTGAATGAAGTTCCCTGTAACAAAGGTCAATGCTAAGGTCGTGCCTACCTTTCTTTCTTTCAGTTTTAAATTTTCTCTGGCATTCCAAATAGAAAGTCTTGATTCCTTTGTGGAAATCAGGGAGAAAGATCACTTCACAGCTTCATGAGACCTGCACTGCGGTTCAAGACAGAGAACTCACCACACTCGTACTCACTGCGTCCTCATACTTATCACCCACCAAGGGCTTTCCGTGCACCCCCGGGGTGCCTGCTGGCGTCACTTATCACTTTTGTTATGTACGAAAGTAGAACACAAGTCTGGGACTCTGACTGCTTCTCCAGTCTTTCACAGTCTAAGGGCAGTGACAAGATTAGGTCCGACCACCCCGCGGCTCAGTTGCTGTCAGTTTGGCTTCCAGGTAGCTGTAACCTGTCCCCAGTCAAACAGCAGGTGAATCCTTTCTCCTTGGTGAATTCCTGTCTCTCAAAACGACTTGTTGGAATTTTATTTTTGGCTCTGTCTTTCTTATATTATTCATTTTTTCCCAATTCTAGTTTTTCTTATGCTAAATCCCTAAACATTTTATCCAAAATTGATTCTCTCCAAAATAGATCGGATATGATCAGAATTATATTAATTCTTTGATGGAGACAGTGAGCAAATTTTAGGTTACTCCTGTGAGGGAACAAAGAAAAGGACAGCTTTGTAGGTTATATGAAAAAATAAAAAATAAATGGGGGAGAGAGAGAGAGGCACTAACTGGGCAAAAAAGTTTTCAATTTAATGCTCAAGAAATGATAAAACTAAACACAATCCTCATCAAAGGTCCTAACCAAATGACCAAGTGCCAACAAATCTGTCAGGTTAGTCTGAAAGGTCCAGGCCTTCGCTCGCCAAAGACCATTTTCTACTTGGAATGAAGCATCTGTGAGGGTGAGGCTAACCTCAGGCGGGATGGCAGCGCTGCACCTGGAATTCACTGCACACGCAACTGAACTGACTAGTGACCCGCACCAGCACTGCCTGAGAGAGCAGAGCTGCGGCTGTGCTCGCCCAGGGCCGTGGGCCTGTCCTCACTTGGCTCCTTCCCACCTGGCCTGCCGGAACCCCCTGCTCACCACCTGGACTTCCTAGGTGGCACACCCTGTCTACTCCCCAGCAGGTTGGCTTTCATACTGAAGGATGTGGCGGCCCAGTGTAAATCACTACTTTCTCCTGTTCCTCAAATGTGACTCTAATCCTCACCAGGGACTGGAAGCTAAGGATGGCTCCAGATTTGGGTTCTGCCTCAGTAATTTTCCAGCTTGGAGTTCTACCTGATTTTTTTTTTTGGCAGTAGGACTTTTATTTACTTTTTAAACTTTTTATCCTAAACTAATTTTAGACTTACAGAAATGCTGCAAAAGTAATACACAGAATTTCTGTATATCCCTCACCCAGCTTTCCTGAATATTGATAACTTACGTAACCTTAGCATAATTACCAAAACCAAAACCACAAAAACAAACAAACAAACAAAAAAAACAAACCTGTAACATTGACAAAGCACTTCTAACCAGGGGCTTTCAGCAGTCACCAGTGCCCCTGGGGCTCCTATTCCAGGACTCCCTCCAGCGCCCACACAACCTTGACCTGCTATTTCTCCCTAGTCTCCCTGGTCTGTGAGGTCCCCGCAGCCTTTGCCTTTCATGACCCTGATACTTGTGAGGTGCCCTGACTAGTTCATATGTCAAAAGTCAGTCAGTTTGATATTTTGTGTATAATGCACTTGAGAATTCTGGGCAAGAATATGCCAGAATAATGTTGTGTCTTCAGTGGATTATATCATGGAGTTCTTGATGTTCTTATAGGGAAGGCTGACCTTGACCCCTTGGTTAAGATAAATGTTTCTCTATTTATAGCTTTAAAAAAAATTATACATACAAGAACTGGGGTACAGGCCAGAGGGGGCTGTGTGTGAGAGGATTTACCAGAGACAGAGTAAGGAGCAGAAGAGGCGGATCTACTGAAATATACTGCTGAGGGGAGCTGTGGAGAGACAGGAGGCTTGCTGCGCCATGTGGGTCACCTCCGGGACCAGGGATCAAACTCATGTTGCTGTGGCTGCAGACAGCTTCATGGCACCATCTTTGATCCCTGCACCGCCAGGAGGCCCTGCTATTGTACAGTTTCTATGTTCCCCTTTGTCATAAGCATGTCTTGGGGAAGGAAGTTTGTGGTAACTATACAACAATGATTACTGAGGGATTCGTCTTAGGGTTATTTTCTATTTCCTCTGACATTTATTAACTGGAATCTATAGGAGGGAAGAACTGTCTTTTCCTTCAGGCATTTAACTGATCTAATAAACACGGGCTTATTTTATTCTACTGGTTATAATCCAACGCTGTATTAATTTTATTGCTCAATTTACTTTAGCAGCGGTCATTTAAGATCTCTTTCAGGCTAGTATCTGTGTTCTTTCAAGAAGCACCTGTTCTTTAAAGCACTTTCTTGCTTTCTGGCACTACAAGGTGTCCCAGGCTCATCTTGTATTTACCCTGCCAAGTTTCTCTCATTTGAACAGTGTTTACAAAACAAGGTCAGAGCAGTAGGCGAGCCGATAGCAAAAAGCTTACTGAAGTGTGACTGCTTCTGGGTCCTTCACAGCAGACAGAGCTAAGAAATGCACATATGAGTACCAACTCACACAGAACTCCTCTTGACACACACACACAAATCTATGAAAATAAAAAATACAAACTACGAATATGTCTCAGATTTCAACCTAGTACCACCTGGCTCATTTTAGATTTTCCTTTCTTCATATGTAACTTCTTTCTCTAACAATGAGAAACATAGTTTTGTCATTTATAATATGTTCAATTCACTTATTCAATTCCAGGGGAGACTTGCTTAAATTTAATCAGGTTTATCTCAACAGAGGGGCCCTGGGCCACTCCCTTGTCTGGTGACAATAATGAGTTTGAATGTTTCCAAATATTTGAGGACCATTTACATTTCTTTTTTTTTGTTCAATTGTCCCCCCAATTTTCTGTAATGGTTTTGGTTCTTTGTTCAGTCCTTTAACTATAAGGGATACCAACCCTTTGTATGAAATATGTGTTGTAAGGTTTTCTCAGTTTTCTGCTTGTCTTTTGACTTTTTTTTCCTTTCTTTTTTTTTTTTTTGCCATAGAACACTTTAAAAAAAATTCTATATA